ATATTTGCACATGAAAATTATCTATTTAAATAAATCTTAAGTCATGAATCAAGTAATGAGTATCCAAATTATAAGCATAATCATGGCAAAAGAAGGCTCATAAAAGTATAAAGTAATAAAAATAAAATAAAAACAATAATAATAATAATATTATTATTATTATAAGACGAGGGTATTAAAGAGATTGCCACATCTTGCAATTTGTTTTGCAGTCATCATGTGAAACTTATCCAGAATAGCTTAATACATGGTCATCACTATTTTATAGAGACTGTTCCAGTTATCAGATGTTCATAGTAATAGTACTTGTTCATTTTAACATAGTTTAAACTTGTAGATACAAAAAAACACAGTTTAGGGTTTTCAATACATGAAGGAAAAATAAGATATTTAAAGTAATCAGGATTTTGATAACATCTAAATATTAAAGATGTTTGTATAAGTAAACATATCACATGGCTTAAGAAATCCATTCTACTGTTACTGAGTAAAGCTTCAAGTTTCATTGTTGGAGAATTACTGAGCATTAATACCATTTTGACAAAGATACATGAACAGCAACTGATAAATAACAACTGGTAAGGCAGTATCCTAAGAATTGTCTCAATGAATTCACTTACCAACCTCACAGTCTTTGAAACATATTATAGCATTAAAACTCACATCACAAATGAAAAGTTAGGAAATAAAGGATTTAAAAGTGACAGTCCTGTGATTCTGAATTACAGTAATGACAATTTACAGACACTGTATGCAAAGACCTTGTCTAAAAGGGAGGCCTGAAGAAGAGGATAAATCATACATTGCTCAAAACAACTAGAGTGGATACATATCACTGATGGTTATTTTGTAATAAGCTCAAACAATTAAGCACAGGCATCAGGTTATCTACTAACAAAGGCATTAACTTTAGTCCTTACAGATGGACCTTCATATAATGTACACAATACTATTGGAATGTTATACATGTAGACTACTAAAGATATCTGTCACATTTAGTACTGTCTGCCCTATCAAAGCCTCTACCTTGATATTGTGCTGTGTTTAACTCTGCCTCTGGTTGAAATATTTTAAGACATATTTATACTATATTTATACATATCTTAAAAGATATACTTTTCACTCATTAATTTTATTTATCATTATTTAAATGATACAAAAATGTATACAAATGATGCCCTTCTAACATACTAATATACTGCATACAAAAAAACAAAAAAGACACACAGGTTTGCCACTACCTGACGGACATAAGCTTCATGGAAAAGCTAAAGGATTGAACCTTGTGTCACTGGAGAAGTTATGAGTGACATATTCACCCTCCCCACAAGGACGGTGCCTTGATACCCATGAGGGGCTCTTGATCCAAGGAATTAGACTTATCCTCCCTTTCCTTAAATGGAACCTGATTGCCTCCCATTTCCCATGACTTCAATGGTTTTAGTACTCTCCCCCCCCCAATAAATGTATAACAAAATATTGAGGGGTATTGAGAGGGTAGACAGGGAGGGGCAGTTAACATGGTAAAGAGCCAGAACATGAAGGCAAAGATGGAAGCTGAAGAGCTAGATGAAGCAAAACAATGTTAGGATGTACAGTGCTTTTTCATTTTATAGGAAACAGTGAAGAGGAACTGGACACAAATTTTGTAAGACTTCAAAGGGAGATATGGTAAGAGACACTAGGAAATTACTATGCCAATCAACTGAAGGTTGTAAGAATGTACCTTAAAAAAAACAGTGTTTATTGATGGATTATTGTTACAAGAAGTGAAAAATATACAGTTGATAACAGCTTCAAACACAATGAACCAGGAGGGTAAGATGAAGTATAAATGGGGAAAATCCTAAATAAGCAGATGAAATAATTAAAAAAATCTAAATCAGAAATTTGGTCAGGAAGAGTGCAAAAACTGAGACAGAAAATTATTCCTAATGAAACTTATACAAAGGCTAAAATCAATTAAGTCATTATTGAAAGAAACAGAAGTGTGGTTATTTTTGGTAATGAAGAATATAATTACTTAGAGGAGAGATATAGACAGATAGTGAGAACAATTCAAGTTTCAACTGAAAATGTTGACTATAAATGTCCACAGTGGAGGAAAGACACTTGAAGGCCACATTTACAAATACCAAATATTCTACATTAATGAATTACTAAGCAATGCAAAGGGATGTGTGCAAAGACTAATAAAAGTATTAGAAAAGACCTGCTCAAAAAAAGAGTAATAAAACACCAAATAAAATATAAAAGTAGATCAAGATTTAAATATAAAATAATCTAATGAAAAATAGACTTTCTTCTACAAATTAATAAAAAATTTCTAAGGAGTATCTTAGCCTGCCAAATAATTAGAGCAAATGGCAAACAAAAGAAAATGGCCACGATAAGCAAAGATTTTATATGTATACCCAGAGAGGGTTTTGGGGGTCAATACCCCAGCAACTCAGTCCAAAACCAGGCCTCGTGGTAGATCAGGGTCTGATCAACCAGGCTGTTAATGCTGGCCGCACGCAAACTGATATACGAACCACAGCCCGGCTGGTCAGGTACTGACTTTAAGTGCCTGTTCATTGCTTTCTTGAAGACAGCCAGGGGTCTATTAGCAATCCCCCTTATGTATGCTGTGAGGCAGTTGAACAGTCTTGGGCCCTGGACACTTACTGTGTTGTCTCTCAGTGGAATGCAGGAGAGAGTTGGAACACAGTTAGAATGAAGGACAGAGAGAGATATATCATAATTTACACTTAGAAAAACCTACAAGGAATGGTCCCGAATCTGCACACAGAAATCACTCTCTATGAAAGTAAAAGACTGGACAGGCAATGCAAAATACCCCCAATTAAAAGTAGGGGTGCCATTGGTACACTAAGAGAAAACACCATAAGTGTCCGGGGCCCAAGACTGTTCAACAGCCCCCCACCAAGCATAAGGGGAATTACCAATAGGCCCCTGACTGCCTTCAAGAGGGAGCTGGACAGATACCTAAAGTCAGTGCCAGATCAGCTGGGCTGTAGTTTGTACGTTGGACTACGTGCGGCCAGCAGTAACAGCCTGGTTGATCAGGCTCTGATCCACAGGGAGGCCTGGTCGTGGACTGGGCCGTGGGGACGTTGATCCCTGGAATAACCTCCAGGTAACCCCTGCTTTTCATTGAGGGAATGTTGCATCTCCTGCCGAGTCTTTTGCTTTTATAGAAAGTGATTTTCGTGTGCAAGTTTGGTATTAATCCCTCTAGGATTTTCCAAGTGTATATTATCATGTATCTCTCTCACCTGTATTCCAGGGAATACAAATCAAGAGACTTCAACCATTCCCAGTAATTTAGATGCCATATTGTACTTGCATGTGCAGTGAAAGTTCTTTGTACACTCTCCAGGTCAGAAATTTTGCCTGCCTTGAAGGGGGCAGTTAGTATACAGCAGTGTTCCAGCCTAGAGAGAACAAGCGATTTGGAGAGAATCATCATGGGATTGGCATCCCTAGTTTTCAAGGTTCTTATTATCCATCCCATCATTTTCCTAACAGATGCGATAGATACATTGTTGTGGTCTTTGAAGGTGAGATCCTCCGACATTATCACTACCAGGTCCTTCACATTACTTTTTCACTCTATTGTATGATTAGAATTTGTTGTATACCCTGATACAGTTTCAATTTCTTCAAGTTTTCCATATCTGAGTATTTGAAATTTCTCTTCACTGAACTTCATATTGTTTTGAGTGGCCCATTTAAAGATTTGGTTGATGTCCACTTGGAGTCTTGTGGTGTCTTCGACGGTGGACACTGTCATGGCAATTCGGGTCTTATCTGCCAAGGAAGACATGGAGCTATGGCTTACATCTCTGTCTATGTCAGGTATGAGGATGAGGAATAGAATGGGAGTGAGTATTGTGCCTTGTAGAACAGAGCTTTTCACCATAGCTGCCTTGGACTTTACTCTGTTTACTATTACTCTTTGTGTTCTATTTGTCAGGAAGTTATAGATCCATCTACCAACTTTTCCTGTTATTCCTTTATCACACATTTTGTGCGCTATTACACTGTGGTCACACTTGTCGAAGGCTTTTGCAAAGTCTGTGTATACTACATCCGCATTTTGTTTATCCTCTATCGCATCCAAGACCTTATCATAGCGGTCCAGTAGCTGGGACAGGCTAGAGCGACCTGTAGGACAATATGACATCTAATCCACCTTGAGAAAGAAGAAGAAAAGAAGAAGAAAAGAAGGAGAAGAAAAGAAGAAGAAGAAGAAAAGAAGAAGAAGAAAAGAAGAAGAAGAAGAAAAGAAGAAGAAGAAAAGAGGAAGAAGAAGAAAAGAGGAAGAAGAAGAAAAGAAGAAGAAGAAGAAAAGAGGAAGAAGAAGAAGAAGAAGAGAAAAGAAGAAGAAGAAAGAAGAAGAAGGAAGAAAAGAAGAAGAAGAAAAGAAGAAGAAAGAAAAGAAGAAGAAGAAAAGAAGAGAAGAAGAAGAAGAAGAAGAAAGAAAAGAAGAAGAAGAAGAAGAAGAAGAAAAGAAGAAGAAAAGAAGAAGAAAAGAAGAAGAAAAGAAGAAGAAGAAGAAAGAAGAAGAAGAAGAAGAAAAGAAGAAGAAGAAAAGAAAGAAGAAAAGAAGAAAAAAGAAAAAGAAGAAGAAGAAAAAAGAAGAAGAAGAAGAGAAGAAGAAGAAAAGAAGAAGAAGAAGAGAAGAAAGAAAAAAGAAGAAGAAGAAAAGAAGAAAGAAGAAGAAAGAAGAAGAAAAAGAAAAGAAGAAGAAGAGGAAGAAGAAGAAGAAAAGAAGAAAAGAAAGAAGAAAAGAAAAGAAGAAAAGAAGAAGAAGAAAAGAAGAAAAGAAAAGAAGAAGAAAAGAAAGAAGAAGAAAAGAGAAGAAGAAAAGAAGAAGAAGAAAGAAAAGAAGAAAAGAGAAGAAGAAAAGAAGAAGAAAAGAAGAAGAAGAAAAGAAGAAGAAGAAGAAAAGAAGAAGAAGAAAAGAAGAAGAAGAAGAAAGAAGAAAAGAAGAAGAAGAAGAAGAAAAGAAGAAGAAGAAGAAGAAGAAGAAGAAGAAGAGGAGGAGGAGGTGGTAGAGAGAGGGAGGGAGGGAAGGGGAGGGATGGGATGAGCAAGGAGACTTCAGTATAAACTATCTGGCTCTATTTGAAAATGAGTGATCATGTATTATTAGAAATGATGTAGCAGTAAGTTACGATTTGGATGACAAAGGCAAAAACAAATAAGATACAGAGAAATAAAGCAGTAAGAAATCAAATGAACCAGGTACTGTTCAGAAGAATAAACTGATTATTATTGAATGTGGTTTAACAATTATAAAAATTTTCACACTATTTTTTAACACAAAATAGTCAAATCTGCTTTTACCTACTAGAATTTCACTCCCTGCCATCATCAAATTTTTGGCACTTTTTTTTTAAAAGTTTGAGGCTCTGCCAATTATAGCTATACTATATACAAGTACAACACAAAAAAATCAAGCATGGAACTAGTATAAAACATAACAACCAGAAAATCTTTCCAAGCTTTAAAAAGGCCACAAACATTATTTTTTTTCTTACCTCAATGGCCATCTCCCTCCAAAGCAGGATGACCCAGAGAAGAAAGCACATTTACCATCATTCAATCAGAGTTGGCTTGCTCATACTCCAAGAGCATGCCCCTCAAGGAAGGTTCCTTGATGTTGGTGAGGGGCTCTTGATTTAGGGAATTGGATCTGTGCTCCAGTTCCCCAAATTAAGCCTGAATGCCTTCCACATCCCCCCCCAGGCGCTGTATAATCCTCCAGGTTTAGCGCTTCCCCCTTGATTATAATAATCCAAGAGCATGTCCATTAAAACCACTTGTCTCCATTCACTCACCTCAATGGCCATCTCCCTCCAAAGCAGAATGACCCAGAGAAGAAAGCACATTTACCATCATTCAATCAGAGTTGGCTTGCTCACACTCCAAGAGCATGTCCATTAAAACCACTTGTCTCCATTCACTCCTAACACACACAAACCTATGGATGCTCAAGCCTCAAATTCAAAAGTCTCCTATATTTAGGGTTTCTCTTTAATATGGTAAATTAGCAGATATATGGAAGTGGCTAATATTGCACTACTGTACAGAAAAAGAGGGTTGATGGGAGTCTTCATATATCACACACACCTCTCAGTGATCTGTGCTCTAGTAAACACACAAACATAAAAGAGTTATTAGTGAAAATTTGAAAAAATAATATGGACAGTAAAAATATCTTGTACCAACTTGTTACATTATATAACAGTGTTGGACATTATGTAAGATGTCTATGGTGACCACATTTATTTGGATTTCAAAATAACCCTTCTGAGAATATTCCCAACAATAGACATATTTGATAACTGTAAAACAGTTAAATTATTACAATGGATAGATAAGGTAATTGACTCTAGTGATAAGAGGAACGGTATATTCACGGTGCAGTTCCAAAAGTGATCTCAGTATTGCTTTTCATTTACATTACTATTTACTAGAAGGGATATCTGCATTAATATGCTTTCAGATGAAGACAAACATTTTGTAAAGTAAAAAAATATACATGACCTAGAATCCCTGCTGGAATATTTGACTACATCAAACAAGTAGCAATAAATGGCTGATGGAATGTTATGCTGATAAGTGTTCATGTAATGGAAATAAGGGAGTATAAGTGGAAATAGACCAGAGGTAGAACTGTAATAAAATCATAGAAGTATCAGAGAGAGCTAAAAATCATAGAGCAGACCAGAAGACTACATAAATGTAGTATACAAACAAAAGTAAACATGTTAACTGATCAAAGAGGCATAACCAGGAGCAGTAGCTTAACCTCCACAAACTCAGGGGTCTTAATGAAAGACATGGATAATAATATAATCAAATTAAGCACTAAACCCAAAAGGGTCATTTAGTGCTGCCCCCAAAAAATAGAACTACTTTACTTTTCCTTGGATTGAATATAGTTGCCTTCCATTTCTCTGGTTTTATATGATCCCTACAGGTTTAGCACTCTTCCATGAATGTAATAAAAAAAATTGATGAAGGTGATCACTACAACCATGGCTCAGCTCCTTTAATTACAGATGATTAATTACCAAGAGGTATGATGTAAACCCCTCAAGTTATAAAAAAAAATATACTGTTTGGTTATTACAATCAAAACCAAGCACTAAACCCACAAGGGTCATAAAGCACTGCCTGTATAGTTACAGATGAAAGCTATACACACAAGCATTCAAGAGACATAAAACTTAGAGGTGTAGCAGAGTACAGTACAGTGGATCCCCGGTATTCGATGGCATTGGTATCCGATAAATCTGGTATTTGATGCATTTTAACGCAAAAATTTCGCCTCGATATCCGATCGAAAATCCGGTATTCGATGCGATTCGTACGAGACGTGCCCACATGTGGCCTGAACTACCCCTTGTGTGCCAGTGTTTACAAGCCAGGCAGTGTTCGCACATCTAAGGATACATACGGTACATTCCATATTATCACTGTTTTTGGTGCTTGTTTCTGCAAAGTAAGTCACCATGGGCCCCAAGAAAGCTTCTAGTGCCAACCCTGTGGTAAAAAGGGTGAGAATTAGTATGGAAATTAAGAAAGATTTTGAAGGGTTTGGAGCTAACCCTGAGAAGCCTATGCCAGTTGTGGAATCCTTTGTGCCTACTTCAAAAATTAAGGAAATGTGTGCAAAGTGGGTTGAACTGCAAACCTTTATGGATGAAAATCACCCTAACACAGCTATTGCAAGCCGTGCTGGTGACTATTACAATGACAATGTTATGGCCCATTTTAGACAAATCTTAAAGGAATGAGAGGTACAGAGCTCTATGGACAGATTTGTTGTGCGACAGAGGTCCAGTGACTCTCAAGCTGGTCCTAGTGGCATTAAAAGAAGAGGGGAAGTAACCCCGGAAAAGGACTTGCTACCTCAAGTCCTAATGGAAGGGGATTCCCCTTCTAAACAGTAACAACTTCGACACTCTCCCCTCCTCCCATCCCATCAATCATCACCAGATCTTCATTAAAGGTAAGTGTCAATTATTCTATTATTATTCTATTGTTATTGTTGTTATTGTAATTATTCTATTGCATTAAACTTAATATTTCATGTGGTAAAATTTTTTTTTCCATACTTTTGGGTGTCTTGCACGGATTAATTTGATTTCCATTATTTCTCATGGGGAAAATTGATTTGCTTTTCGATATTTTCGGTGTTCGATGAGCTCTCAGGAATGGATTAATATCAAATACCGGGGGTCCACTGTAATTCATTGATATAAATGACTTTTAAAATAATGAACAAAATCTACTGAGTAAATTGTTCTGTTAACTCCTCTATTTTCAATATTCATTGCAATATAACTACCTGTTAAATACTTTACTGTACATCAATAGTACCTTAAGTGTTTTTTCTATTTTTTTTAACTTTATTCTGATTTAAGAAGATATTTCTGGGCAATTTATAGCTTCCCTCCTGGCACCTTACAAGATATTTTCTTAAGCATTTATAAGGAAATTAAGAATATGGTAAAGTATTTTGAGGATGATTTTCTTCTCTAAGTGACCTGAAGCTGTTCCATTTACCCCTACCTTGCTAGGAGATGGCCAGTTTGAAAAAAATCCATTTGATTTTGCTGTGACCAAATCTGGCATAGTATTTCAAAGGCCTAAATGCGATAAGAAAAATCATGAGAATCAATTTGAGTACATGCCTTGAATAAACACAAAATTATGTAGTCAAAGAAGGAAGGTATATTAAATTTTAGTTGAATATCCCTGGACCAGTTCTTCAAAACCACATTCTGACATTATTGTTAATCTCTGGGTCAACATAAACAGGTAAAAAAAAATTACCTCCTATATGAAACACCAAATTCAAGAAGCATAGCAGACTACCTGATGGAAATCTCAGTACTGACATGTGCATATTCAAATACCTGACTCCAATTATGAGAAAGCTTACTGAAGAATCTGCCACCTAGAAGTAGCATCGGATTAGACATGACATCAAGTAGGTTTTTATATTGATGAACTATCTAATCATAAACAAATGCATAAATATTTTCTTAGGGCACTAGGAAGTTTTCTGCCTGATTCAAGTGTACTTGGGCTTAAACAAGATTGAGATTAGTCTCGCACACAATTTCATGCTTGCCACCTGGTGAGGTGAAAGATGACCCTAATCTGGTATGCTGGCTTGTCTAGCTTGACCATCATGTAATAAAGTTGATTCCAAAAAAATGGCTTCAAAAGTAAATATGAAAAAGGTAAATCCAACCAGCTCACTAAAAGTTAAGTGGCAGGTCCAAAAACTGGAGTTCAACCCCCACAATCTCAAGTAATTAAAGACTCCAGAGAAACTGAGAAGCAAGAGCTATAAGGAAAGCCTATACAAAAACATCACATCTCTGGAAGACAGGTGAACAGGAGACATGACTACATTACATGAAATACTTTAGACCATAGACAAAGATAGGTTATTTGAAATGGAACTGCTAGGAAAAAGGGAAGACAGACGGAAAGTATACACTTAAGTAAGCCACTCAGACTTTACAAAGACTTTTTACATCAAATGGAAAATAAAGACTTGAAACAAACAGGGCTTGTTCCATGAGCAAATTCAAAAGTAAACATGATAAAATCATGTCAACTGATCAAAAGTTAAGAGGCAGAACCAGGGGCTATAGCTTCATGTCCACATACTCAGCTAGGCAAATGCAGTACTGCGTACTAAAATCAAATTCATCATATGAACCCCAAGCACAAAAATATCTCGTATTTTCTTAAGCTCATTCTGTTTCGTAACAGAAATCAATAATAATATTCCAGTACTGACAATGCACTGTATTTGGAAACATCATGGAGCACAAAGACCAAATTTAATGTTTTTATCAAAATAAGCTTTTAACAGATTATGGTACTTTGTTGTGACCATTATGACTGGAGACGATACCTAAAACACTGATGAGACTCGGACAGGACGCATCCTAAACCCAACCAGCCACACTGATAGCTTAAATCCCAGTAGCACTTTAATTCTATAACAAGAACAATTAAAAATATATTTATGCTTGCATTCTGACATTATACAAATAAGAAAGCAAAATATTGAGTGGGAGAAATGCACATGCAGGAAATCAATATGAATTTATCAAAGGGATGCACACACACACTAACCTTTGGCATTTATTCTACACAAGAATTTACATGAATTAGGAAAGTACCAATCTGGATAGAAATGAATATTATAAAACTAAAAATTTAATACCTGCCAATAATAATAATAATTTTGTGCAAGGATATAAGAACATTTAACTGAATGAGGATACCAGATTGAAATTAAGAGCAACAACTAAAGTGTTAAGTATTGGCAAGAAATGGCATAAAAAACAAGGAGGAAAATACAACATTAGAACATAATGACCTGGAAGATCATTTAAAGTCATAAGAGACATAAAAGCATAGTAAAAATAAGTTAAACATGAGTAAAACCACCATGGTTAATGTGAAATTGACCATCAGTCCGAGCCTCCGCAGATACAGCTGTTGTCAATTTCGAGTTCACTTTTTTCGGTGAGGCAATTTTACCCTAGTTGTGATCTGGATGTATCATGAAGTAATCTTAAATACTTTTATACAATGATTATGGTCCCCTGAAATATGTTTGTGATGACTTAATTTGTAAACAAGAGAACAAAATATGCATCTAGAACAAAAGCTTAAAAATAGAATATTTACAATGCTTGGTCAGCAGGTGATCACAAAATGAAACAGACAATTTACACATGCAATTTCAGCTTAATATACAAAGATAAAAACCACATCTCTTTGACAAGAATAGTTCACCTTAATTAAAGAAATGTAACAAACACAACTAAGATCAATGTAACAAATTTACTTCCTAAATAAAAGAGTTCAGAGCACATGAGTTTCATCCATACTAATATATTTCTCTTTCTCATGTCTAGAAAAATATATTTAATATTCTCTGAATGTATTCTTTCTATAGCAAATTTTAGGAATAATTTTTAAAATAAAAAAGCAAACAAATGTATGGTAGATTTTTCATCTTTAACTTTTCAGGCCTTCACATTAAATCTGGCTTAATTATAAATGTTAATGTTCAGCACAACTCCAATAATACATAGTGTGGACATAGATGACACTTGAGTTATACCATCACTGCATCATCACTATAATCTTGGTGTAATCTAGAAGTTACACTTCCGTCTTCATCTCTTTTATCACGTTTCCACGTCCGTGTTCTTTTTTGCTTGCTTGTGTTGTCACCTGTCATAAGGATAACATCATTACTGCCAAATTTTTCTTAAACTGTATATAATGGAAAAATATAACTACTGTAATAGCTATTGGATAACAATATATTATACATCACAATATAAACAATATACTAGTTAATATTCCATAATGATATTTGCTATACAGCTACATTCGTGCTAAAAAAAAATGTGATAATACAAAAAAGAATGAACTGCTAGAGAATGTGAGCAAGCTTAAGAGTGTGTTACATGGTGACCAGGACAGCAAGATGACCAGTGGGTATAAGAGTGTTACATGGCACTGTAATACAGGTGACCAGGCCAGCAAGATGACCAGTGGGTATAAGTGTGTTACATGGCACTGTAATACAGGTGACCAGGCCAGCAAGATGACCAGTGGGTATAAGTGTGTTACATGGCACTGTAATACAGGTGACCAGGCCAGCAAGATGACCAGTGGGTATAAGAGTGTTACATGGCACTGTAATACAGGTGACCAGGCCAGCAAGATGACCAGTGGTATAAGTGTGTTACATGGCACTGTATATACAGGTGACCAGGCCAGCAAGATGACCAGTGGGTATAAGTGTGTTACATGGCACTGTAATACAGGTGACCAGGCCAGCAAGATGACCAGTGGATATAAGAGTGTTACATGGCACTGTAATACAGGTGACCAGGCCAGCAAGATGACCAGTGGGTATAAGTGTGTTACATGGCACTGTAATACAGGTGACCAGGCCAGCAAGATGACCAGTGGGTATAAGTGTGTTACATGGCACTGTAATACAGGTGGCCAGGCCAGCAAGATGACCAGTGGGTATAAGTGTGTTACATGGCACTGTAATACAGGTGACCAGGCCAGCAAGATGACCAGTGGGTATAAGTGTGTTACATGGCACTGTAATACAGGTGACCAGGCCAGCAAGATGACCAGTGAGTATAAGTGGTTACATGGCACTGTAATACAGGTGACCAGGGCCAGCAAGATGACCAGTGGGTATAAGTGTGTTACATGGCACTGTAATACAGGTGACCAGGCCAGCAAGATGACCAGTGGGTATAAGTGTGTTACATGGCACTGTAATACAGGTGGCCAGGCCAGCAAGATGACCAGTGAGTATAAGAGTGTTACATGGCACTGTAATACAGGTCACCAGGGCAGCAAGATGACCAGTGAGTATAAGTGTGTTACACAGTACTGTAATATAGGAGACCAGGGCAGCAAGACAACTAATGGGTATAAGAGTGTTACACAGTACTGTAATATAGGTGACCAGGGCAGCAAGATAACTAGTGGTATAAACACAGATAATAGAGATAAAGTCATTATTTTCAAAGTTTCACTCAAGATTCAACAAACATCTAAAAAAATATCTTGCTCTGATACAATCTGCATATACCAGTAGAAAAATAAAACAAGCATACTTATAGATTTTAATTATACAATAAAGGCAAGAAGTGAAGGCTAGGAGTTTTCTTATACCCTGGTACTAGTGGGAAGTGACTGCAAGGAGTTTTCTTACACCCTGGTACTAGTGGGAAGTGATGGTTAGTTTTCTTACACCCTGGTACTAGTGGGAAGTGATGGCTAGGAATTTTCATACATCTTGGTACTAGTTTGAGGTGAAGGCTAGTTTTCTTACAACCTGGTACTAGTGGGAAGTGATGCCTAGTTTTCTTACACCCTGGTTATAGTGGGAAGTGATGGTTAAAAGTTTTCTTACACCCTGGTACTAATGGAAAGTGACAGCTAGTTTTCTTACACCCTGTTATTAGTGGGAAGTGATGACTAGTTTTCTTACACCCTGGTACTAGTGGGAAGTGATGGCTAGTTTTCTTACACCCTGGTACTAGTGGGAAATGACGGCTAAGAGTTATCTTACACCCTGGTACTAGTGGGAAGTGATGGCTGACTTTCTTACACCATGGTACTAGTGGGAAGTGATGGCTGGTTTTCTTACACCCTGGTACTAGTGGGAAGTGACGGCTAGTTTTCTTACAACTTGGTACTAGTGGGAAGTGACGGCTAGTTTTCTTACACCCTGGTAATAGTGGGAAGTGATGGCTATGAGTTTTCTTACACCCTGGTATTAGTGGGAAGTAAAGGCTATTTTTCTTACACCCTGGTACTAGTGGGAAGTGATGGCTGGTTTTCTTACACCCTGGTACTAGTGGGAAGTGATGGCTAGTTTTCTTACACCCTGGTACTAGTGGGAAGTGATGGCTAGAAGTTTTCTTACACCCTGGTATTAGTGGGAAGTGATGGCTAGTTTTCTTACACCCTGGTATTAGTGGGAAGTGATGGCTAGACGTTTTCTTACACCCTGGCACTAGTGGGAAGTGATGGCTAGTTTTCTTACACCCTGGTACTAGTGGGAAGTGACAGCTAGTACCCTGGTACTAGTCTCAGTAGTACCAGTTACCAGTAGTATGACTCACTACCAACCATCTGTGTGACTCACTTGTTATTCACTGTTCAGCTGACCTAGCATGTTTCGAATGCCGCTACCCTCCGAGGCACTCAGTGAGCCAGTTCAAGTAGAGGTGTTAGAGAGGCGGTAGGTCAAAGCTTGGTGCTCCCCCTATATTCCATCCAATATACTAGAACATCCAACGTGAGTGTTATTACCCAATCCACATTATCGAACCCCCACATGACAATTTGGTGGCAGCTAGTTTTTGTACAACCTGGTACAGTGGGAAGTGACAACTATGAGTTATCTTACACCCTGGTACTAGTGGGAAGTGATAGCAGGTTTTCTTACACCCTGGTACTAGTGGGAAGTGATGGCTGGTTTTCTTACACCCTGGTACTAGTGGGAAGTGATGGCTGGTTTTCTTACACCCTGGTACTAGTGGGAAGTGACAGCTAGTTTTCTTACACCCTGGTACTAATGGGAAGTGACAGCTAGTTTTCTTACACCCTGGTATTAGTATCAATTGATGGCTAGTTTTCTTACACCCTGGTATTAGTGCGAAGTGATGGCTAGTTTTCTTACACCCTGGTACTAGTGGGAAGTGACAGCTAGTTTTTTTACACCCTGGTACTAGTGGGAAGTTAGTTATAGGTAATACATATTTTAAGAAAAAGAGGATAAATAAGTATACAAGATATGATGTAGGGCGAAATGACAGTAGTTTGTTGGATTATGTATTAGTAGACAAAAGACTGTTGAGTAGACTTCAGGATGTACATGTCTATAGAGGGGCCACAGATATATCAGATCACTTTCTAGTTGTAGCTACACTGAGAGTAAAAGGTAGATGGGATACAAGGAGAATAGAAGCATCAGGGAAGAGAGAGGTGAAGGTTTATAAACTAAAAGAGGAGGCAGTTAGGGTAAGATATAAACAGCTATTGGAGGATAGATGGGCTAATGAGAGCATAGGCAATGGGGTCGAAGAGGTATGGGGTAGGTTTAAAAATGTAGTGTTAGTGTGTTCAGCAGAAGTTTGTGGTTACAGGAAAGTGGGTGCGGGAGGGAAGAGGAGCGACTGGTTGAATGATGATGTAAAGAGAGTAGTAAGGGAGAAAAAGTTAGCATATAAGGTTTTACAAAGTGATGCAAGGAGGGAAGAGTATATGGAGAAAAAGAGAGAGGTTAAGAAGAGTAGTGAAGCAATGCAAAAAGAGAGCAAATGAGAGAGTGGGTGAGATGTTATCAACAAATTTTGTTGAAAATAAGAAAAAGTTTTGGAGTGAGATTAACAAGTTACGGAAGCCTAGAGAACAAATGGATTTGTCAGTTAAAAATAGGAGAGGGAGTTATTAAATGGAGAGTTAGAGGTATTGGGAAGATGGAGGGATATTTTGAGGAATTGTTAAATGTTGATAAAGATAGGGAAGCTGTGATTTCGTGTATAGGGCAAGAAGGAATAACATCTTGTAGGAGTGGGAAGAGCCAGTTGTGAGTGTGGGGGAAGTTCGTGAGGCAGTATGTAAAATGAAAGGGGGTAAGGCAGCTGGGATTGATGGGATAAAGATAGAATGTTAAAAGCAGGGGGGGGTTTATAGTTTTGGAGAGTAGTTGGTGCAATTATTTAATAAATGTATGGAGAGGGTAAGGTACCTAGGGACTGGCAAAGAGCATTCATAGTTCCTTTGTATAAAGGCAAAGGGGACAAAAGAGAGTGAAAAAAATTATAGGGGGGATAAGTCTGTTGAGTATCCTGGAAAAGTTTTATGGCCAGAGTTATTATTGAAAGAATTAAGGAAAGGGAGGAGAATAGGTAGCAGATGAACAAGGGGGGCTTTAGGAAAGGTAGGGGTGTGTGGACCAGGTGTTTTCAGTGAAACATATAAGTGAACAGCATTTGATAGGGCCTACTAAGAGGTTTTTGTGGCATTTATGGTTTTGGGAAAAAAGGCGTTATGACGGGTGGTAGGGGTGGGGGGCAATGTGGAGATGTTGCAGGTGTATGGTGTAGGAAGGAAGGTTGAACTTAAAATGGTATAAATACCGACGGGGTTGTTAGGTAAGACAATATGTAACAGTTGGTATCTTTATTATGAAACGTTTCGCCTACACAGTAGGCTTCTTCAGTCAAGTACAGAAAAGTTGATAGAAGCAGAAGATACTTGAAGACGATGTAATCAGTCCATCACCTTAAAGTTTTGAGGTGGTCAGTCCCTCGTCGGGGAGAAGAGCATTGTTCCATAGTATGAAAAATATGGAGATGAAGTGCACGATGGGGCTTTTTATAGCGCCAAGAGGTGAGACGTAGGCCATAGGAGAGGTAAAATCAGATGTTGAGAGGTCAGGTCCCTCTCAAATCCAGCCGCTCTCACTAGTGGAAGTTGTCGAAGTTGATTGCAGGTCTGTACCAAGATACCCTTGTGTTGCAGTGTTGACAGATTGAACAAACTGTCAGACACTGCAAACAAGGGTATTTGGTACAGACCTGCAATCAACTTCGAAACTTCCACTAGTGAGAGCGGCTGGATTTGAGAGGGACCTGACCTTCAACATCTGAGTTTTTACCTCTACTAGTGGCCCACGTCTCACC